TTTGGTCAGTTTTGCAATCTAAAGTATATAAAACAAAATCAAAACCACTCAAACGATTTTTCATAAAAGAGTTTGAAAATGCTAATATTCTTGCTGTAATAAATTGTGTATTGTCTATGAAAAAATAATGTGTTTTTTTTTTCTCTTATTTCTTTTCAGATTAAATCAATTAAATTTTAAAATAATATTACCATATAATACTCTTTGCAATCTAATCTATTAGGGTTAAAACAATTTAAATAGATGAAAATAGTAAAAAAAAAACTATTGGCAAGAGAAAATGTACATTGATATTTTTCTTTTTTTTCAAATATTTCTTAAACTTAGTTAAATAAAGTACCTCTTCGAACAACAAACGTTGTTTCCATATCATTGGCACATTGACGAAGTATTTCAACAATATCTGCATGTTGTTTTCCAACTAAATCTTGTCCATTAATTGATAATAATAAATCGTTTTCACATAAATTTTGGCAACGTTGTTTATCATAAATAGTTTTAACACGTTGTCCTGATGGACTATCAACAACAGTAAAACCAAAACCTTTATTACCTTTTCGAATTTTAATTATATATATATTTGTATGATTTTCTGGTTGATATTCTCTATAACCACCATTTGGTAAATGATGAACACCATTCAATGAAACAATATCAATTTGTGGATCATTAATATTAACTGCAAGTGGATAACCACGACAAACAGTTAAATCTATAATATCACCTATTGATAATGATTGAAATATTTTAACAACATCTGTATGACTATAACCCAAAACATATCTATCATTAATATAAATGAGTATATCACCTCGTTGAAGTTTGCCATCTTTAGCGGCCTGTCCATCAGGTAAAATATCTTTTATTTGAAGAAATTGTTCACCATTTTCATGACCATCTATTATTGTAAAACCAAAACCTTGTTGACTTTTTTTTAATGAACATGTTATTAATTCGCTAGGTATATGATGAGATATATTTGCATTTAAATTTTGACTATTGAAAAATTCTGGATCATTATGTTGAAACATTTCGTTAGCTGAATTACTTCGTCGTACAAGATTAGTATTTGTTATAATCGATTCTTTTGTTGGACGTGGTGTTCCGTAATAATGCCCTATTAGAAGAAGAAGGAGAAGAAGAAGAAAAAAAAGAAAAACAACAGAAAATATTTCTTTTGTCTTTATTGAACAGAACCGAAAAAGAAATCAATACCAACCTTTATATACTCCACTTTCAAGTAATTTGCCACTTTTTTCTAACGCATGAAAATCTTTTACACTTAAAAATGTATAATCTTGCCCATTTATTTCACCCGGCCGTGATGGACGTGTGGTGCCTGAGGAAAAAAAAGGAAGAAAAAATAATTGTATTTTATAATAATTTTTACAAAAGAATTATTTACAAGGTACTGTTCTCATATAAAGATTATCGCGTATAGTTTGTTGAAGACCATGGTCAATCGAGTTCTTTTCAAAACGTCCATCCAAAAATTGACGAAGATCTTTGGTTAAACCTATTGAGAAAATATAATATATAAAATAAGAATTAATGGATTTATATGTATAGAAGAGAAGAAACAAAAGAAAAAGAACTTGGCCTCGACCTTGTAATTCATCGAATATAGGATTACCCTTCGTTGTTGTATTTCCTACGTTTGGAGATATTAACGATAAATTATCATAAGATGAATGAATCATAACGTTCACGTTTGACAACATTTTACTTGTCAAATATTACCCAAGAATAATAATTATATTTATGTATTACTGGTGAGAATGTATAACATCAACACTCACAGCTCAACTCAATACGTATACGTATACATATATATATGTATTGGATAGAAATGGTAATAGTATAAATGATGCAACGGACCCACTGGTGCGATGACAATGTCGACAAAAATTGAATAAGAGAAGGAAGAAAAAGAGATGCGGAAAAAAAGAGAAATAACGGTATGTCTAGTATGATAGCATGCAGTTAATATCAGCAGGCCATTGTTCTGTCAACGACTTGTTTACATGGTCAGCCGTCGGCGTTTGATTATTGTTCTTTTTAGTAATGATAAGACAAGACATAATGCAGAAACGCAGAGTTCAACCAGCCAACATGAAGATTGCGACTAGTCTGAACACAGCATGTCATAATGAAACATAAACATACGTCATTGATCGACGCAAACAGTAATAGTCAGTCATACATCTCTTTTTTTCTTAGAGAGCTTCATCGACTTAAATTAACAGAAGAAAAAAAAAGAAGTGCCATAAAAAACAACATGAAAGTATATGAATAGTTTTTCCGTTTATTCTTATACATCGTTCACGTACGCATGATCATATTGTTAAGATAATAATAAACGAATCCCTTTTATTTTCTCATTTCTTCGCGTAATTTATAATTGTACAGCACTTGAGTACCATTCTCGGTAACTCTCTTTCTTTCGTATATTGTCCTCGATTTCATCACTCACGGCCGATCAAGTCATTTGAGAACGAAGGACAATGAAACAAATGCGATCATTCTATGAAAATAACATTAATTCCATTTGCCTGTCAATATTCACCATCAATATGTCCTTCTTACAACTGTTTTCTTTTTATCTAATACATCAAATAAAGAAAAAAAAACGACAACCTTTATCTTTTCATTGAGATATGGTAACGAGTAAATCAAAAGAAGATTAGAACGTATGATGTCATTTTTATTGACAATCAACGATGCAACAAACTATTGATGCTGTTATTAACAAAGAGAAGAATCTTAATTATGCGTAAATAAACCGAATAGCACTACTTATAAACTGTTAATCTTTAATTTCAACCATGAATAAATATGATAGACAAGTTGATCGATTGATACTGATGAAAGAGTGTTGACCGACTTTTTTTTTCTGTCACTGACGGAAGAAAAAAATCGATAAGAGAACAATATATTCTTTTAAACGACTAATATGGTTTGAGTTTACACAAACCTAATGAAATAATCTTTCATTTCCCTTTGAGCACTATCCTAATCGTCCTCCTTATGAACATTAAAAAAAGCAAAGAAACGTACGTACCCGATCTAGCAGTTTTTAATTTAATTTGCTTTCCATTAGTAGAAAGTGTTTCAATAAGTAATTGAGCATCAGCTAATGTATAACCAGCAATTTGTTGTTGATTGATTTCGAGAACTATTTCATCAAAATCAATTTTACCACCTTTTATTATGTTTGTTGATGTTTTATTTTTTAATAATGACATAGAATCATTAAAATAAACAAATTGTCCATTATCAGAACCACCTGCTAAAGGAAGTTGAATTGTATGATTATTATCATTTGTTACCAATATTGTTTCATGACAAGTTTGTGACCAATGTTTTGTTGGTAATATTGGTGGAGATGTTAATGCTAGATGAGTAGGTGATAAATGAGGTTTTGTTGTATTAAATGTTGATGTCATTGATTAAAATAGATTATTATAATCTATGAATATAAGATTTTTTTTCATTGATAAATGTCAAGATCATATCTTCAAGTAAATAATTTACGTACAATATGAAACTTTTGTCGTCAATGCTACTACTAGTTAACATCTGAAAAATGATGATGGTTATGTCAATATTTGATTTTGTTTTTCTTCAACGTTGAAAAAGACAATATGGAATTTTTATTATTCAATAAAAGTGTTAAAAAAAACGAAAAAAAAAATCTCATCAAGACTATTTCCATGAAAGAAGAGAAAGAATGAATTGTGCACTATGCAAACATTTTTCTTCGACCTTGACATCATCGAGTGTCGACAATAATTTCTGTGATATGAGCATCAAATATACGTGCACTTACAGAGAAAAAAGAAAAATGGAACATAAATGACACGAGAGATGGTTACAAAATAAAAGATCAAATAAGTCTATTAATGTGTCATCCTCGAGCAAAACAAAGAACGATTGTACTCACTCTACTGTGATCGATTTCTTTCTTGACTATTTTTTTTCTTTCATACGCAATTCATCAACATACAACATCAACAATAGGATGATAAGCATCTGAAAATTGAGCTTCCAACAGCTGCTATCGCTTTAAAATTAGACCATTCTCCATCAATATGATGGTGCGTACAACTACAAATACTTGTTCTCTCGTTGTTTTTCTGTTCTGTTTTTTTTTTATTCGTTATAACATTCAATGTTAGTTTTATTCTATGTATAAGCAAGTGTAATCATGTTAACACATAAGCACTTATTCTCTGTGATGTCTGTTCATGCAACAAGTCTTGATGATGCCTATTTTTATCCTTCTGTTTCTCAAGAGACTGACAAAAGGAAACAAAAATTATATTTAGGACGTCAATATAACAAACCTCAAAGAAGAAAAAATAATATGAATTGCCGAAGACAAAGTGAATTTCTCCTGATAATTTCCTTGAAGAAAATAACTACAAAACTATTCATGTTGTTTCTTGAATTGTCATTAATATAAAATCGATGAGTTTTCGTTCGATGATCTAGAACGGAAAAATAAAAAAACAATTGATTTAATGAAAGAATAATTCATTCATCTCTCGTTTTATATGTGTCTATTCATTTGTTGTTCAATCACCAAGACAAATGAAAGGGATTTACTATCGATAACCATTGACGACAAGCGAACGAGAAGATTACAAACTTTATTTTTTTTTCTTCTACGAAATCGAACGATGAAAAACAAACAGATAAATCATTATTTTTTTTTTGCTGTAGCTTTGACGCTCAAAAAAATTCTTATTGATCAATTTAAAAGAAAATAAATGAGCAGAAAAAGAAAATATATATGTAACATAGAATGAACGGTACTATGTGTAAAGACAAAAATAAATAAATAAATATCGCTGCTTCGGACAAAAAAAACATTGACGAAACTAAAAATACAATCGAGGACATAAAACTAATAACGTAGAATATTATGTATGCGGAAGACGCTGCTTGAACGAATAGAATTTGATGAAGAAAAGAAAGACATATTAGTAATGAAATATTTATGTTGATATCAATTCATAATATTTGCCTGTGTTTGGATCGTAGAAACATTTGAGTGTTGCATCATAACATAACGGAACTAACTCATTATCTGTCGTTGATTCAAGTGGCTCATCATTATCAGAAGAATTCTGCTTTTTCATTGTATCTTTTGAATTTAATTTCAATCGAAAAGTTTGTTCAATATCCGTACCGTTTCCTCCTATAGTATTATTATCTGAAACAATCGATGCCAATAAAGTTGGTATTGGAGCATTAGCACTTGTACGCATTTCATATCGATAATCTTGTGAAAAACGTATTCGTGCTGCTAATTCTTCATTAGGTTTAATTGTACGTGGTGATAATTTAAATGTTGTTGTATCTATTGGACTAGCAACAACATATTCATATTTACTTATATCCAATTTCGTTGATTGATTTTCTGATGAAACTTCATTTGGAAGCCAATCATCTTGGAATTGAAGATCAGCTAGAATAGCAGCTAATTGCATTGAATCAACCATTTCGGGTTCCATGTTATCTGGTGATTGAGAAGTTTCAATTGAATTAGGAATTGGAGAATTTTTAGGCAAAATTTGACTTTGATTATTTGTTCGAATAATTGGACTTTCTCGTGTTTCTATTTGATTTTTTTCTGATATTGGTGATGGACTTTGTTTTTCTCGTGGTGATGAATGGCGAAGAAGTAAAAAAAGTCTTCGTCGTTGAACAACTTTGGGAACTTTAGATTTTTCTTGTTTTTTAATAAGATCATTTAAAGAATCTTTTTGTTGTTCATCACGTTTTAAAACATAATTTGTTGAGCGTATTTTTTGTATAGAATGATAATTATCATCATCATGTGAACGTGGTGTTAACGACGGATTAGCTGATGATGGTTTTTGTCGATTTAAGTTTGAACGTGGAGAATTTTTATCAGGTGCTGATGATATACGCTGACGTAATCGATTATTATGTGAAGATTTTCTATTTTCTCCGATTTCACGTGGTCGATTACTAAATGTATAGATTTGTTTTGAAGATTGTATTGATGTATTTTCATTTTTGTTAGAATGATAATGTGATATTGTTGAACTTTCTGCTGTTAAAGAAGGTCTTGTCTTACTGGAATTTTTTGATGATGATTCAGGTATAGGTGGTATTGGATTCTGAAAATGATTGGCCTTTAATGGTATTTGAGAACGACCATTTGCCATTGCATTTGTTGTTGATGATGTTCGAATATTTGGTCGCGGAAATGATGTTGAAATATGATTACTTTGATAGGCAGTTGTGGACATGATGCATCTACCTGTATTTTATTTCGGTTATACCGATATCATAAATATAAAAAAAAACAAGAAAAATATTTTTATTTATTTATTTATTTATTTTATTTCGTTTCATATGATGTATGTGTTTGTCAGAGACATATGGGGACGGATCGATGATGCAAATGTGACGCATTTCGAAAAATTTTGCTTTTCTTTATTCTTTGTCTTTCTGTTCTGTTTTTTTCAAGTTTTGAAAATTATTAACAACCAACAGAGTTGAATAAATTTATTTCTATCTTTTGTCAATCTTAAAACTTAGAACACTCGTTATTGAGATTTTTTGTTTCTTTCTACCTCAAAAATAATGTCGTTTTTATTGGTTAATAGAAGAAACCAGCCGTTCATAGACGTGAAATGTTCAATAGCCTGTTTAGATATTTAATGACATCTGTCGAAGATGAAAATTTCTGCTTTCAAGGGATGGTTCTAATATTAACATCTTACTGCAGAATTGAAATTTTTGTTTATAATCAAAATAACATCATCATTACTTAATAAACATTTATGAATGGAAAAGCATCGATTAAATTGAATCGAATATATATAATATAAAGAAAAACTTGTCAGCTACTCTCATGAGAAGCCAATGTATGAAATTGACAAACTCTGACTGTTGTGAATACATAGGATATTATTAGAAAGAATAAAATAATTTATTTAAAAAAAACTGTGCGGTGCGACGCACAGCGATTCGCTTCCATACATTGCGTATTTTTTACCAAAATAAAATCCACAGTAGGTGTCGTCATGATCTAGAGAACGTCGAGTTGCTTGAAATTCGTTCAAACTTTGTCAGAGAGGTCAATATTTTGAGATAATACGAACATTTTTGAATCTTCAATATGACTTTTCGTTCATCTTCAGTAAGTTCCATGAAATGGTGATTAGGCCTCCATCTTTTATCTAACAAAAATATCGAGCTAGTTTCAACCAGCTAAACTGTCAACTCCTATGTTAATTGAAACTCCATTTCAGAAAATTGAGATCGCTTTGCACGGCATTTATGTATTCTTTACTTACTAGACATACGTTTCGGAAGTTATCATTTTTTGATGCGATGATCTCAAGAACAGAGAGTCGGAGCATCGAAGAAGGTAAAAGTTATTTTAACATCGCAGGTTTACAGAGGATGTTTTTCTGTACGAAACTCTTATATTTGAAATAATAACCGATTACTTTGCGGCAGCTCTTCATCTATGTTATTGCATAAATAGTAGAAATAAAAAACTTTATTGCAGTCCCAGCAACACATCTGCAAAGACGTGATTTGTAAAAATTTTCTGTATATTTTATGAGATTTGTACTTAAGCTGTTTCTATGACAAGGGCGCGCACTTTTACTCCTGATATTCATAGTAGATCTACAACAATGCCGTATCAGTTCTAGTATTGACAACTCTCCCAACAGTTCTTTTCATAGGAACTGATCTATGTAGCAGTTATTCTTGAATAAACTGGTGCAGCCAGACGTCTCATTTTCACCTTTCCGTTAGATGTATAATTGCTTCATTTTGGACCATGCTTGTGAACTGCATAAATCTACTGGAATCAAGCTAACGAAAACTTCATATAAATATAGAAGGACTCAGTTCTCAAAAGCGAACTAATGGCAATTTAAGTGTGAAATGGCCATTAGTCACTAGACACAGTTCTAAAACTAGAGGTGTTCTGAGTCACAGTTTCAAAAAAAGAACTGTTCCCTTGATCCAATTCATGAAAAAAGAATTGTTCACTGAATACAGTTCTCAAAAAAGAATTGGTTCATTCATTGAACTAAGAGCTGTCACAGATCTACTAGCAGCTGATATTTATGGTTCTCCCCAAATATGCTACGAATAAAATCTTTATAAGGTATAATATGTTTGTTGAGAATGGTGCAGCCAGATTTCGTTAATGAAGAATTGCAATGCAACGCTGATTATATAGAAAAACCTAAAAATTTTAAAACATACGGAATACTTTACGACAAAGCATTTTGTTTCGAACTTTCTATCGAGAATCTTTTCTTATAGATTCAATAGTATTTCGAAATAAATCAAACATGAATTGGCTAGATTGTATCCCAAAAGAGAATAATCTTCTCAGGAAGTAGACTAATGTACGTGAGCGGCCAGTCAAGAGTGACGCTTCAAAACGGACGCCGCTCACGACTAGCTATTGATTTGAAAGGTTCACCTAACGAACGCTTATGAGGATTGCGATCCACAGAAAAATTCTCTAACGACTAGGCCGGATTGGTTGAAAAATCATCCGAAAGTGAAGCAAAGTTGAAAAATTTTTTTTTCAAGTCGAGTCGATCAAATAATTTTCCTGCAGAAGTATATAGTCTAGAAATTACATTAGACGAAAAATATCTCTTAGCACAATCGTCTTAAAGTAGTGTTTGTGTATAGACAAAAAGCAAACTTTTCATGATTGAAACGCAAACTTTGATTATTGTGAAAACCGAATTGAGGATAACTTGCATGCATAAACAATATCAATTTGCTTCTATTGTTAATATAAAAGAAAAAAAAAGTTAGAGAAAAACAAGAGTTAATAATCGTTTGAATTTTCATTTGTTTTTTAAAGTATAAATATTGAATTACTCCGCTATGATTGAAGACTGTGTTGAAGCTACAATATTATAGCAAACAACTCTTTACTTCGAATGAAAATTGCAAAATATAAAAGCGTGTGGCACTGCTATCAACAAATGGAACACTTCCCATGCAATGAAAAGTGGGAAAAACCAGTGGTTTACTGCTAAAAGTGATCCAGTTTTTGTGACATGGGTTATTTTTTATCTTATAGGCGGTAGCTCGAATAATATTTGTCTACAAGTGGGATGTATGAGACTCTAGGGAACTTATACATCTTAGCTACCGGTGCGCAATCCGTTACTTAGCCCAGTCAACTATTGTTTTATGTGACAAATGTTTAAGGTTACTAGTATTCTCTTGAACGATGACTAAAGACTCATCGATTCAGATTCATACTTATTTATACTGATTGAAAAGGTGAAAACTCTTTATTTTGGTCAAGAAATGGACTAAAGACACATTCGTAGAATGGAAAATTAATAAAATATCGATCTCAATCGACGTGTAGATTTTTTCAGACGAATTAGTTTTGGCTTTGATTTCAGGAATCGTCAGTAAGAAATGTAGGATTGTTTTGAACTATCGCAGACGTTCTATTTAAGCAGCAGTTTTAACAGAATATGAGTCTTGAGAAAATCCTCAATGCAATTTTAGTTTTACTAGTGAAGTCACACTCTGCGTAAATAATAGGCTATAGAAATAGTAACAACTCTAGATAATAGCGAAAATTTCTGAATAATAACAAATATGGTGGAATTAAGATGTGAGGGGAGAAGAGCGTGGATTGAATTCAATCATAGTACTATGAAAGCCCTAACTTCGTCATGTTACTGCATGAATTCAAAACTTTTGAGTGCCAAAGAAATAGCGTTTTCACTTTTTTAAAACTTTTAAACGCGTTTATCGATTTAATTCCTAATGTAAACGCATCTTTCATAGTTCTTTTTAATGTATTTTAACTACAAACTATGAACACGGTCACATTTGGTTGCTACGAAACAAATCATATTTAAATAAGAAAATTCTATTTTAGTTTAGACCATCGAAAATTGATTGAATCTTATTCATATACAGTATTTCACATACTATTGACGTATGTTCCTATATTATAGTTACCAAAACACACTTGTCTAACTGAAACTAAAGTAAACAAAACGTTTTGATAACCAAAAGATGTTTTGTAATTGAATAGACAGAAATTTGCACTGAATCTTCATTGTTGAATGCTTTTGGATAGAGAATGAGATATATATGAAAATGTATATTTATATCTTTGGCCTAAATATTTTGTAAAAAGATATGTTAAGTGTATATCGTGTACGTTCTAAAAAATTTACAAATGTACGGGCATAAAAATTGTGATGAGTTGTTGAGAGCACAATACGAGCTTCTCCGGAACTTACTGAGCTAAATAATGATAAAATGGCGAGATGCGCTCAAACTACCATGCAACACATTCGTTTTTTCTTTTTCTATCCCAAGTATTCGAACAGAACGGAAAAGAAAATTATTTTCTTATGTTGTTGATGTACTTGCTCATTTTCTTTTTCATATGTTTATTTGTACTATATCTTCTTGTTGAGCAGTTGAATACACATGTTTTCTTTATTTTATTATAAAGCGGTGATCAACTGCAGTTAACCAACAGTTTTGTTCAGTTATTTTTAGTAACTATAATTTATAAAACCAATAATTGCAAACGTATCTATAATACTGAAAGTTTATCAGTTACCAAAAAATATTTATTAGATTTTCTCTTTTATTATATGCATGGCTTTTGTACTAAACATATATTAATACTAAGTGCGTGAAATAGAGGTCCAAACTATTTTTTCATTATTTGACTAGGTTATTGATGTGCATATTCATCCCACATTCTCTTTTCGCTTACAGTTATATGTTGTAAGATTCAGCATGCAGATGCATCAGATAGTCTACATTTTATTTAATCTTTTTATTACAATTATATTCAGCTCGGTCGAGGTTGTGAAAGTGTTCTTTGAGCTTGTAAGACTATTGCTCATCTATTTAACTTTTTTTTGGATTTGACATAAGCAATTAATATACAGTTTTAGCTTGATTTTTCAATATGCCATCTTTAGATGTACATCAAAAAATCAGTATTGACGTCTTTTAATTAATCATCGTCACTGATAACCGAGAAACTCAATTGAATTTTCTCTCATTTAGATGAGGATGGGTATGGATAAATTTGAGTGTTTTTGGATGTGTTTAGTCGTGGGATGTAGATGGTTTTGGTGCATGTTTGTTGATATGAGGGGTGATATGTGTACGCGTTAAATAACTAAACGTTTTTAACTAGCTTAAATGCGTTTTGGAAGACATACGACACAGTTGAAACTCATAGTGTTCAAACATCGGTTTTTTCGTTTACTTGTCTGCTTGGCTTTGTCGATTTTCATATAAGGAATAACTTCAAATAAATACATGTCGTTTGATATGTTCTCATTGTTCTTCTGTAGCATTTCGGATTCTAAAGACAACTGTTGATGACTACCTAAGTAATGGTCGAAAAGCACTGTATATTGCTTTGAATTCTACTATGAAAAACACACCCACATCCTAATATCGGAGTAAGTATGGAGGCATCGATTGTCTACCATCAGCACCTATCTCAACTAATACTGACATCATTACTTGTTCGCCATCGTTTATACTTAAGTAATAATAAACAGGCTTCACAGAGGGAAAGAAACAAGATGCATTCTTGTTTCATTTCTATTGTTTCTACTAAACATAAGTAACACAAGGATGAACCTTTTTTATTTTTATTTTTACTAGTTGATCTGTTAGGCAATTGTATTTCGTTTCATGGGGGATGATTGTTCGTTCTTTGCTATTTTTACATTTGATATTGTCACTTATTTTGGCTGTATTACGTCAATCTATTCATGTAAAAGGACAAGTAGTGCACACCTCGTGTCGACACCGATCATCTTTTGATGTAAACAACAGTTATGTGATTTTGATTGTGCAAACAATAATTTGTCTAATGGCAAATCTCCTACATTTTGTATATGAGCAAGTATATTTATTTGTCATAGTACGGAGTAAGACAACAATTAGGCTTCTCCCATCGTCATTTCTCACAAAGAAAAACACCCTCATTATTCTGATATGAGTAACGATCACATTTTATTCGAACATTATTCTCAATGCTGTGCAAGACTGAGGTTTGTGTCTTTGATAGACATTTTCATGCCGGTCATACTTTACTGATATGTAACTGTGTTCAACAGCAGATCCATATCAAAGTAAAGTGGTGGACATAATTTTAAGACACTTTTTGTTTTCGCTATAACTTAGTCGCCTTTATAGATACAGATCTGATACTTTAAGTGTCAGAACGACTGTGTTTAGGAATATTTAACTTGAAAAAATCTTCTAAATTAGGTGTACTTTGGATTACTTGTGGAAAAAATAATTTTTTCCCAGCGAATATAATTTAAAGACGAGCTTAATATTTTTGTATTTTCTGATCTAACGATTTTCTTTTTTTGAAAAAATGAATCATATATCACTCGATGCAGAGTCTTGTACTCTACATTTGGAAAAAAAACTTTTGATCCATTATTAGACCATAATTTTAAAATTTAATTTCTGTTGGTGACAGTGAACAGTAGTATTCAAAAATTAGTAATGCAATCGATTTGAACACCGATTAGTGTATTAGAAAGAGTATAAAAACTTGAAGAAAACCATACAAGTTTTGTGCAAATATATTCTCTTTAAGAATGGACTTTTGATAATTTTTCTTTGCGATGAGTCATCAATGTTCGAATTATACTTTTTTTTTATCTATCCAAAACTAAGTTCGAAGTTTTACACTAATATCAGTTTTATAGAGAGTTGAAGCCTTTCCAAGACGTGGCTCACCGTGCTTCTCTGCGACACCTACAAAAATTGCTGTGTCTGAAATATTTCTAGTGGGCACAAGTATGTTTTGATAAAATGAGTCAGAAAAACAAGCGCCATCTCTTGTCTTCAGTCTCCTTTTGCTTATAACTTTTGAACGATCGAACCCAGAAAGTGGGGAAAGTCATATTTTATGGCAGAGATTCTCCTCTACCTCCTTGAGTCTAATTACAAAAGTTATAAACAAAAAGAGACTGAAGACAAGAGATGGCGCTTGGTTTTCTGACTCATTTTATCAAAACATACTTGTGCCCACTAGAAATATTTCAGACACAGCAATTTTTGTAGGTGTCGCAGAGAAGCACGGTGAGCCACGTCTTGGAAAGGCTTCAACTCTCTATAAAACTGATATTAGTGTAAAACTTCGAACTTAGCTTTGGATAGATAAAAAAAAAGTATAATTCGAACATTGATGACTCATCGCAAAGAAAAATTATCAAAAGTCCATTCTTAAAGAGAATATATTTGCACAAAACTTGTATGGTTTTCTTCAAGTTTTTATGCTCTTTCTAATACACTAATCGATGTTCAAATCGATTGCATTACTAATTTTTGAATACTACTGTTCACTGTCACCAACAGAAATTAAATTTTAAAATTATGGTCTAAGAGTGGATCAAAAGTTTTTTTCAAATGTAGAGTACAAAACTCTGCATCGAGTGATATATGATTCATTTTTTCAAAAAAAGAAAAGTCGTTAGATCAGAAAATACAAAACACTAAGCGTGTCTTTAAATTATGTTCATCACTTTATTTGTAATGCTGATGGATACACTATTTAAACTTAGCTGTGCTTCCGATCATTGACTTGCTTAGAGCTCGTTCATCATATCACTCATCTTGCCTTTTTGCTTTGAACTGCGGAAAAAAGTTTTGCATTGCATCGTTGTACTGTCAAATATTTGTTTAGAATGGAATTTTTGAACAGCAGTTTGTTAGACTTTGTTTGCTTGTCACATGATTGCCAATGCTACTAAATATTTTACACTTTGACAGCAAAATAAGTACAACATCTGAGTAGAAGTTTGCGTTGAACGTTTCATACACTTTGTAACCACTCCTTACGTTAGCAGTTGTAAATCTTTTGTTCAAGATGAGTCAAATATTTAGACTGAAGTTTGACATGAAGGCTTCGTTTTTCATGCATTAGTGGACTCGATTACTGGCTTAAAAGTTTTGGTTGCGAACAAGCAAAGTACTTGGTTCAAAAATCCCTGTGAACTTTTTATTTAACAAGCACTTTATCTGTACCTATTTGCAATGAGCTTTTCAACCATATTATAGACTTTCATATTTTTCAACAGAAAGATATATTTTGGGACAAAAACCTTATCCTTCACTAGTAGTACCCGATGACAGATACCTCGTCTTCCTTTTCTATTCTAACGTGTAGTCTTTTCTAATGAATATTCACTCTTACTCTTTGTCTTGTTTTATTGGTTGATAGGCAGATACACCATCCTTCCGTATGAAATATACGATCGCTGGTTATTGTATCAATCATGCTGACACTTCACTCATGCCCTCTCATTGAGACATTAGGCAAGCATGAATGAATGAATGGCAACTTTTGAGTGAAAATAACAGTCTATAGAGATAGTTTTGAGATCTGAACGAAATTCTGCCGATATGGTTATTTTAAGATTATTTCCTAGCTAAATCTAAAAACGGTAGAATGGTATTTTTGAAGAGACCGAAGAGAAAAATACAATGAATTCTTTGTGGAATTTTAACGTTACAATGCCTTTGGTGCATATCATATCTATGATTTTCCATCTGACTGACAAAAAGTAAATAACTCTTTATTGACAATTTCTAAAACACGAGGTAACGCAGAAGATAATGTTTACTATCCGACACGGCTTATCTTCGAACGAAATGATTTCCCTTATTTCAAATACGATTTTTATTTGTTCAATTTATTTGTTTGAAAATTCATTGATTCTTACGGTTTTCATTCTAGATAATAATTATCGTTAAAAAAAGTAAAACTTCAGTGATTGTATGGTCATGTATTTCCAAATATTTGGTGAAAGACGCGGAGTGATCATCATACTCTTATTGACACTTTGCACGGAGTTTTGCGTGGTTTATATTTCTGCCTCAACAGTGGATGTAATAGTGGTTGGAGGCGGCCTATCTGCTCTAACAACATCGTATCGACTAGCACAAGCCGGGCAAAATGTGCATCTATGTGAGGCGGATAATACTTTGGGAGGACGCACACGCTCTGCCGTCTATCATGGAAATTCCGTTTCCATTGGAGGAACATGGGCTTTGTTCGAGAATACGTTCACTCTTCAATTAGCAAATGAAGTCAATGCCTTACCAATAGTACCACCAACTATTCCTAAGGAGTTGGCTATATTTCGTATTGCTCTCAATCCATTTTTATTATTACAGTTTTGGCTAATTGGTTATCAAATGGCATCATTGAGAGATGATTACTGGAATTCTCTCGGTGCTGCAGAATTGGACAATATAAGTATAGAACAATGGATGCAACAACAACAACAGATGTATTTATGGACTTCGGATAGTTTGCAAGCCATTCGTGATTGGTTCTGGTTAATAGAAAGTTATCCATCAACTTTGTACAATATTTCTGCGTTGCATGGTTCTGTTGTGTTATACAAAAGATTGCGCCTTTTGAGTGCCGAAGGCCTTTATACAAAAGGGTTATATCGATGGGAAGGTGGAACTGGGACGTTTGTTGAAGCGATTCGTGCTGCTTTTGTACGTCTCGGTGGACTTATATCAACCTCTTGTCAAGTAGTTGCTATTGATTATACTGATCCTGATCAAGTTATTGTAACTCTCGTCACTGGTGCAACAATGACCGCGAAAAAGATTGTAGTAGCCACTTCCTTACCAAGTGCTAGTTATATCTCTTACAATCCATCTTTGCCAACAAGTCCAAACTACATGGCACTATTTAAAAGTATTATACCTTCTGATAATGCTGCTGCTCAAATTATTATGACCTGGAATCCAAAATGGTATTTACTTCAAGGGAACACAATACTTCCTGATCCTCTTACACAACCTGCCTGTGGTGTTTATGGGCCGGTATTTGATGTATCACCGGGAAATTCTACTGATGGTGTTTTACGCATAATCATTCTGGATGTTCAACGTTCTTACGATTGTCTCACTAAAGTCGCAACATCGAACATCAGTAAGAATGCTGAAGTGACGAAAAGCGCTAAAGATTGGTTTAAATCTATGTATTCTTTATTTGGCTTTCCAGTTGTTTCAAGTTCCATTGATGACTTCTTTATTGAAACTGACATTTGGGATTGGCGCACACGAAAACAATTTTTACCAGGAGTAACATACTATTTTCCACCCAGCAGTACTTTGGTTGCACATGGCAATGTCCTTCGTACAGCCATAGCGAAGCGCATTTATTGGGGTGGTGCAGAACGTGCAGTGAATGGTCTACACTGGATTGAAGGAGCTATTCAGCGTGGAAACGATGTAGCGTGCGAAGTTTTAGCAGATATTGGTCTAGTTCCCAATTGCACAGTCTACTCGAACTGGTTACAATATTTGGCCCTTTTAGCTCAAAATACTACCAGTTTTCAGAACTTACTGACACTTCGTACACAAAATTTGGAACTTTTGAACCAATTTGTTTGTCAAATTGTAACACAAACTGGATATACATGTCTTTCTCAAAAGCAACCCTGGCGTCACCCAATTACAGCGGTTGAAAATCAAACACAAACATTGATTAACATGGCAATAACTCAGTCGGAAGAAATTGAAGGTTTGGTTAGGTCAGCAGCGCTTCTAGTGGGAAAACTGGTTGGTTTGAATATTTTTTCAAACTAATTAGCAGTTGTCATGATACAAAATGTTTTATGACGGGCGTTTTGCATATTGACATTTTCCTTCGACGAATCAATTCGTAGATAGAGATGAAAAGTAGCGTTCGAATGCTACAATCAGTTTTTTAAATTATAAGGAAGTGTAAAGTCTTTTAATTGTTAGACAAGTCAGATTTTAATACATTGCATGCTTTATTCTCATTTGTGCATGAGTGTTTTTCAAAATATAAGTCACAACTATGGTAATTGATCTCAACGGTTCATCGAATGCTTTTCTGTATCATAAGAAGTGATGTGATATGTGGCAGAAAATACCCAATAGGAACTATTTGCTTTATATATGTATATGTGAAGATCGAAAATCATTTCGATAGCTTTGGGAAAGTTTCTTGAAAATCCTTAGATCTATTTTGTATGAGCGTTTGAAGGAAAGCATATTAATACTATTTTCTACGCTATGGTTTCCAGTACTAAGTCGACTCAAAACTGGACAATTGTAAGATGCCAGCTATGACTGTTGTTTGATAGAAGGCATCATTGACAATTTGAATTTCAGCAAATCTTTTATTTTTCTCATTTTCTTCAGAAAGTTCATGAATTATGTGAATTGGCTTGCCAAAATGACAATGCCAAACATAGTTATCTTCGTCAAAAATTATCGAACGAAACGGCAATGAGCGTTCTTCATCAATTTTTTCGATCGGACCAGTCAAACTAACAGAGCATCGGAACTATTTACTGCAGTGTAATTCAATCGATTGAGTAAAGCTAGCAAGGGACTATACTCAGTTTTCAAAGCTTTTTCTCATAGCAAAAGTGAATATAAAAGCTCTAGATACTTGCATGAAACACTCCTTATCTGGTGACTTGTCTGCTTTCGCAACGAGAAAACATGCGACAGTAAACATAATTCAATGCGCGTATTTAAATCGAGCATTCCGGACAACCCACCATGTAGGCGATTAAAAGTGTCATTTGTTTCTTGTAAAAGCAAAGATCATAGATCACAGATGTATCGTATCGACAAGTAAAATTTCTTTAAATATTTCTCGAACAATTTTATATTGGTTTCGAGTAGACTTTGATGACTTACATCGATTGTATATTAGTTTTGAATTTGTTAATTCAAATTAATCCAGATGACAAAATCAAATAACATTACTTTGATCGTTCTGATAAATAAATACTATTCATCGAGACTCAATTTACGTGTTCATAGACTGACTGGATAGAGACATGCAGACAGGTGCATCAAGGAAAAAACGTGCATTAAGTAAATTACCAGATAAATACAATATGTGACTTGACATAATCACAGCAATTCGTTTCCAAAAAAATAAATCTTTTTCTTAATATAAAATTTGATTTTGATGTTTATAAAGGAAAACCGATGATAGGCATGAATGTAGGTTTAACGAGAAGATTGATGTCTATATGGATTCTACACACAGATACCTCTACCAACACCACACATTCATATTCATTCATATAAAAAAGCGTATTTTTTTGTCGTTAATTTTGTTCTTCAATATTTTTCATACACTATTATTGCTGGTTGATGTACTTATGTCTCTCACTTTTCTTCCGTGCAATAAAATGTCTTCCTCTCACTGATCAAGAATCTCAAAATATACTTTTTTCTTTTCATCAAATTAATACCATTTGAACGTGTTATTATTTATTTGATTTATTAACCCTCTAACGGTGAAGACCAAAAATTTACGGTTTCAAAATTTAGAGAAAAATATCCTTAATCATACTGAAACTGGGCTTTTTCGTATGTTTTGCGGTTAAATATGTGTGACCAGTGACGGCTTGATACACTAGTGCTTTATACAGATTACTGGACTCTAAGCCAACTAGACTTACTCCTAGACACTTTCCTTCTCTTCTACCTCAAACAACAGACAAAAAATTCTTCAGAAAGTTTGTATTGTATGTGCTCATATAAATAGAAGACAAAAAGAGAATAGATTCACGTTACCTGTGCAAAGATTACAAGGCTGACCCTAATGCGGGTTGTTGAGATCGTGAAAACCCCAAAAATTTAAGAAAATTTTTTTTGTTTTTTTGCTGAACCGAAATCTCATGAAAAAATAGTTATTCCATCATACTGTATGACAATGCCTTTTTTCATCACTGTCTTTAATCGAAAAATGAAGTATAAAACTTTCTTAAACATATGTTATTTCTTGATTTATTTATTTAAATTACTTATATTTCAATGAATACATTCGTCATGTTTACGATGATGAGCTATAGACTGTCATTTTTTCGTTTAGAAACACACGCTCTCCTAGAAGAAAATTTAGTTAGCATATACACTACTTATGTCGAAAAATGCCAATTACAGTCCCCTGAGTTTCGGTAGTCGACCAGTCCTGATAAGATCCTTTCTTTGCATTGTAATACTTAGAACCGCACTATTTAGACTAAGTAGAATCTACATTAGAAGTCTTCCATTAGATGAGAGAGCTATAAAAGTTTCGATTTAAATCCATATTGACTATTTTCTTCGAAAATATATAACTCAATGGGATCTCATTATCAATTTGTCTTGACAAACATGAGTATTCAATGACTCGATTTATATCTTCTGAAATTGTCAATTTCTTAATGAGAATCGAAGTATAAGGCTTTACTGAATCATCCAAGTTAAAGATTGCAATTATACACAAGTTAGATCTAGCTCGTCAAAGTGAATAATGAAGGCGGCTTATCTATGATCGATAGTTTAAAACAATCTATACATGGTGTTTTTGTGTTCAGTTTTTAGAATCATCACAAAGATTAGTAAAAATTAAAAAAACAAACAAACATGAAAACATCGATCGCTGGTTAAATGTTTGCATTATTCTGTCTATACAGATACTCTTTCAAGAATTGTAACAAGTATTTGACGTTAATGCACACAATAAATCCGTTCACTCTTAATTTCTATATTTTTTCATGAAGCTTTTCTACAATATTTATGGATTTTGTTTCATATTTTTCATTAATAAGATAAGCTGTTCAAACGTCAATAAACTATTCATTTTATTTGTTGTTCATTTAACTTCAATTATCCTATTAGGGTGGGATCAGCAGTGATGATTTTCAAAAAGAAAGACTAACGCAATTTCATCAGTAAGATTTGTTCAATCTTGACAAAAATTAGTCTAGTAATAATTTTGAACTCGATAGACGAATGTTACTATACAGTAGTGATAAATTCTATTTAGATAAATATATGTTTGCATATGATAATGACGTTTATGATAAATTAAATCAAAATAAATACATTTTTAAAGACGATGAAAGTAATATGAATTTCGATTAATCGAACAGAACAATTCTCTACGTTGACAAAGCGTCGATTAATAAACATGTTTTTGATGAAGAACAAAATATTCACAATCAGATCAAACTGAATCTTACACATACAGGTCATGATGAGTCTTCATCATATAACATCATGCAGTTAAATCAATATATAGCATTCCATATTATCAAAGTTTGATATATCGAGTGTCGTCGATATCGTTAAGAGACAATAATGTTCATACACAATATACATGAGAACATAGTTTAAAAAAAAACACGTTGCTAGATCAATAAATCTTGAAGCATACTGTTTTGTATTAGAGATAGATTTTTCAAATAATATCAGAATTATTTTAGATTGTTTAGAAGTCAAAGTCATTGAATTTAATCAATTATGAAATCATTAAAAATCATGAGAACTATCATATGTTCAAGCGAATCAAATAAATCATCGGTTTATTGAAGTATTCAAACTACAAGAAATTTTATAATTTTGACGAAGTAAAATCCAAGAACAGCAGTATGCCGAGTACTCAATCAATCTTACAATAATTATTTGATTCGAAATTACAAGTATTTCATTCAAAATAAAGCTACTGATTCAGTTGCACAGATTACATGATGAACTTTTATATGTGAAACGCAATCATGATGAGTGCTATACCTTATCAATTGTGAACATGATTCGATGTTTTGAGGATTTCTAATACATATTATCTCAGTCTCGATAATTATTCATTATCTTGCATAGATGTCGTTACCTATTTGATGATTTTTTTTTCTTAAAATATATCAATATGAAAAAGTTATAAAAAATTAATGAATTGCAAAGTGTATTAAAATTTTCTGTTTTTTTTTTCGCTTAATCTATGCTGAAAAATATTTAAATAAACAACTAATAATTCAATTGACTTTTTTTTTCTTCTCTTACTTTTCTCTATTATGATTTCGATCTGATGAGTCATCTAAATCAACAGATGAATGAAACCTTTAGCATGTATGCAACGTAATTTTCTATTTGAACAGATGAACATATTTTTTAGAAAATGAGCCATTCTCTACGATTTTTCAACATAAAATGAGTGGTATTAAACGTACTTTTGTTGCTGAAGAATGTTCAGCAACAACAAATGATAATAATTCATCATTAACAGATAATAATATTCAATCATCCAGTCCAAGTGATTCTCCACAATCAAAAAAACTTCGACGTTCATCATCACATCAGACGACAGAATCTGAAAATGATGATGAACCTCAAGAAGATCAATATGAACAAGAAAATGGCATAACAAATGGTAAAAATGATTCATTTATGTTATAAATAATATTAAAAAAAGAATTATTTATCTTATTTAAGGTCATTCACCAGTTCAATCAGAAAGATCCGAAGAGGAGGAAGAAGATGATGAAGATGAAGATGATGACGATGATGATGAAGCAACTGAAGCTGAACCAGAATGTTTTTCAGATGATTCAATTGTTCATGTCAGTTTTGATAGTGGAAAAGATGATAGTAAATAAATAATTATGAAAATAAAAATGAAAAATCTAATGAATTTTATATTTTTCTTTCTCTTCTTTATAGTATTTCGTTATGATGGTTCGATTCGTTTTCATATTATTGCACCATCACGACCACAATCTGGACAATTAACAAGTGATCAATCAATAATACGTACATTTATATGGACTTTATTAGCATTTTCAAAACCAAATTATGATAGTTGTCATAATGATGGTGGAACATTTAGTCTTTTTCTTAAATGTGAACCTGAAAAACTTTCACCGGGTTGGTCGATATTTGCTAAAGCTGAATTAACTCTTTTACATGCAATTGATTCAAATAAAAATTTTGTGAAAAGTATTTTGTTTATTTTTATTTTCTATTTTATTTTCTGTTTATTTGTTTGTTTATTATAGAAATCAATCATTTATTTAATGCACGTTCAATTGATTGGGGTTTTCATCAATTTAAATCATTAAAAGTATGTTTTTTTTTAAACAAGAACATTATTTATTATTCTTCTTTTTCTTAACTATTTTGCCAATATTTAGGAAATCTATAGTGAATTTATTCATTGGCCAGATAATACAATTCGAATTGAAGCAAAAATTCATGCTGATGCTCCACGTAATGTTGAGTAAGTTAAAGATTGTTTTGTTTTTTTTTTTTGTTTTCGTTTACAATATAATATAAAAATATTGAATTTTAGATGGGATTCAAAAGGACAAACTGGTTTTGTTGGTTTGAGAAATATTGGTGCAACTTGTTATATGAATTCATTTTTACAAACAATCTATTTTACAAAAAAACTACGGCGGGTTTGTTGAAATTTCTTAAAATTTAGATTATTATTCAATCATTCGATAAAAAAAAATAAAATACATTATTAACTTGAGAAATCGAACTGATCAATTGAGTACTCAATTGAGGCTTTATGATTGTAAGTTATTGTGAATTCTTTCAGAAGGCTTAAGTTCAAAGTTTAATTTTTTTGTCAAATCTTTGTCTTTCATTCATTCATTCGTAATAAGAATACATTGAATTGTAATTATAAACTTTCAGAACAATCATGAAGTTTTTATTTAATCGTTGTTTGATTAAATATTCAACGGATAAATATGCTACTTTATATTACTATAGCGAATAATATGTTTCTATTTAGGCTGTATATGCTTTGCCAACCGATAGTGATGATCAATTACATAGCATTCCACTTGCTTTACAAAAACTTTTTTATGATCTTCAATTCACTGATCGACCAGTCAGTACAAAAAAGTTGACACGTTCATTTGGGTATATTCTTGTTGTTTTTTTTTTTAAACTTATCAGATAGATAAATTTTCTTGTTTTTAGATGGGACAAACCAGATGAATTTTGTCAACATGATATTCAAGAATTTTGTCGAGTGGTAAGTAGAAGAGAAATGTTGAATTTTTTTCATAGTTATATATTGTTATTATTTGTTTTTAGTTACTTGATAAATTAGAATCAAAAATGGAAGGTACAACTATGGAAGGTGTTATTCCATCGCTTTTTCAAGGTCAATATGTGGTAAGTTATTATTTGATTTGTAAGAAAAATGAATCAATATTTGATGTAAAGTTCATTTAATTGAAATTAATCTGATCGAATAATTCTCTGATATTTGTATTTAAAAAAAAGAAATCGTTATACTCTCGAGTATATATACTCCTAACTGTTGAAATTATTTATTGTATTATTCAAGGCCTAGTGAGTTAATCCTTTTAGGGCAGAAATTGTTTTTCAATCAATTTATTCCCTTTGGCTCATAATAATAACATAAAACAAATTTTATAACAGGAAGTAAGAGCAAAAAGGTACCCTAGTAAATTTAATAAATTCAGGATACTGAAAATAGTCTCTGTTCACAAATATTCTAAATCCTAGACTTTAAAACTAACATATCTTACGACGAATTGTCTTAGCATCACGTAATCTATGATCATTATGGCTGTTTTTCTTTTTTTTTAATATTTATTCAGCAATATGTTCGATGTACAAAAGTTGATCATGAATCTCGTGTAAAACAAACATTTTATGATGTTCCATTACAAGTACGAAATAATGCTAATAGTAAGTAATCGATATAATTATTCTAAATCATTAATTTATTATTGTTTTCCTTTTTTTTTTTTATAAATTAGTTACGGAAAGTTTTCGAGATTTTTGTAAAAGTGAAATTTTAACAGGTGAAAATTTATATGATGCTGGTAATATTCATGGTTTACAGGTTTGTTTAAAATAAAATAAAGAACTTGTTTTTCTATCATTTAAATAAATTTAGGAAGCAGAAAAAGGTGTTAAATTTCAAAAGTTTCCACCTGTACTATGTCTTCATTTATTACGTTTTGAATATGATTATAATTTATCTCAACATCGAAAAATAAATGATAGTTATTCATTTGATTATCATCTTGATTTAAGTGAATTTCTTGAAAATCCTGATTGTTCATCATGTTCATATAAATTATTATCAATATTAGTACATAGTGGAGATAATTCAAGTGGTCATTATGTTTCATTTATTAATCCAGCATTAGATGGACAAGTGAGATAGAAACTATTATTTTATTTCGAATATATATATATATTGAAACTATTATATTTAGTGGTTTAAATTTGATGATGATGTTGTTGCACGAGTAGCAGCAAGTGATGCTATGGAAAGAAATTTTGGTGGTACACAAGATGATGATGGTAGTATGTATAATACATCAGCTTATATGCTTGTTTATATACGTGAAGATTGTCAAAGTAAATTGAAAATTTTTCATTATAAAAAAAAAAGAAAATATCTGTTGTACTTTTCTTTTCTTTTTAAATAGAAGATGTTTTATGTGATATTAATCAAGAAGATATTCCTCAAAATTTAATAGCAAGATTTGATTATGATAAGTAAGAAAATGATTTTTGTATTAAATAGATTTTATATTTTAATTATTTAAGAAAATATCTTTTAAAACGTCGTCAAGATATGATGGATAATGATGGTTTTGTTGATATACAAATTATATTAACAGATGATTTTCATATTCAACAAACAATTTGTTTAACTGATCTGATTTGTGAAAAGTAAAACAAAAAAAAAAAATTATTTTGAAATAAAAAGAAAAAAATTTTTTCACAATCATTTTTTTTTTTAGTCCTGTTGAATTATTACAAAATAAACGTTGTTTACGATATATACAAGCTCAGCATGGAGAAATATTTCGTGTATTTGCCAGACGCTTAGCATATGCATTGGTATGATTTATATATGTTTATTGAGAAATAACAGTAAAGATCGTAGGATTTATAACAACAATTTCTTTGGATTGACATTTGACAATTTGTTTGAAAGAAATAATATGAACTAAAGTCAGTTTTGTATTCATTTTATCAAGCAAAAAAAAAAAAGATTTTTTACGTTAAAACAGCTATGTTCAATTTATGAACATCTCCAATGTATCTGTCACTATTGCTATATGCTTTTACGCACTATGGAGAAGAGATGAGATCGGTTCGGTTTCATTCTTAACAAAATGTGAGACATGATAATGATACTTTTGTCAATAAGATCTTGAGTATGTCTGTCAATATCTGAGTAGTGTCACATATCCAAGATTTTGGAGATGCCACCACATCTTCCGTGGGAGATGCCGCGTCTCCCGCTGGAGACGCGACACCCACACTCGAGAGATGTGGTCATTCACCACTGGAGATGTAAGATCTCCTTTAGAGATGCGCATCCCCCACACCTACACCCGCATCTCTCGCGCGAGATGCGGCATCTCCCGCGGAAGACGTGGTGGCATCTCCAAAATCTTGGATATGTGACACTGCTGGATAAAGTTTCAGTAAAATGACACAACATTTGTAGGAAGGTTTAAAGTGTCCATATCCTATGAACGATGTTTTCAATAGCAGGGCTTATCTATCTTTTTCTGATTATTTTTTTTAGTTGAAGTAGGATTATTTTCAATGCGAATCATAAATATCCTATAGTCTATCGTCATCAAATTGAAAAGACTATGAGTAGTTTTAGTTTTTAATTATAACGCTAAAACTAAGTCTACTCATTCTAAGTTATTATACAACATTCGAAAAGAAACAAATTTTTTTTTTTTTTTTTGAAAAAGAAATTCAATTAAATTTTCTCATTGGTATAGGGAGTAAATCTTGATGAAGATATTCGAATATGGATTGTTCATACACATGAAATTCATGTTAATCATCATTATCATTCTCAATCTCTTCTTACATCTGCACTTGTTTTTTGTGATGATTATGATAAAAAGGTAATTTAAATAAATTCTTCAAGAAGAAAAACAACATAAAGAGACCAAATAATTATTCTACTTTCTTGAATAGATAATCGATCTATTTGAATATGATATATCAGATCGTCGTACTTTATCAATATTTGTTGAACAAAAAATCTTTCTTAATGGTATTTATCAATTATTAGCATTTGATAAAGATGGTAATCAATTTTTTTATTAGTTTTTTTTTTTTCATAAAACATCATTTTTTTTTATGATTATAATAGATGACCTTTTAATTTTTGTTCGTTTTTATAATTCTCGATATGAATCTCTTTTGCATTATGGCCATTTTCTATTTTCTCAACAACAATCATTTCGTAAGATAAATCAATTTTTCTGGGAAATTTTTTTTTTAAAAAATATTTTCAATCGTTTGATTTTATAGAAAAATGTTTAAATGATATAGCACTTCAAATAAAAGTCTCTATATCACCTTCAACAACATTTATTGTTCATCAAGCTGTACCTACACATAATCAAACACATCAATATGAATTAATAAAAGCTTCAACTTATGATTTATCATTAAATCAAGTACTTGATCCATGTTTATCTGGTGTATCAATAATAATACAAATAATTGATATTAATCAAACGAATGATGATTATCCATTAACAACAGCAGAAGATTATTTTCGGTAAATATAAAACAATATTAAAAGAAAAAAAAAAGAAATGTTTTTTAAATAATTTCATTTTTATAGAAATATTGAAAATCGTCAAGAATTTGATGTTTGTAATCGTGATAGTTTACGAAATGAATGTCTATTTAAATTATATCTTCCAATGAAAACAACAGTTAAAGAAGTTATTCGATTAATTTCTGAACGAATTGAATATTCACAACAACAAATTATTTTACAAAAACCATCAACGTAAATTCTTTGTCTTTTTTTGTTTTTATTTATCAAGATTTATTTCAAGAAAAGAGATCACTTATGAAGGAATCTTATCAATTTGAATTCACATCCTATGTATAGGATAACCTTCAACGAAATATTAATCACTGTAAAAAGATGAGGATTCCTGATAGAGCCTTTTCAATGGACTTATCACTCTTTTATTGAAGTTTTAGTCTATAAATAGGCCTATTAATAACTAGAAATATCCAAAAAACGAATATCTTTGCTTCGATATTGAACACTTAGCAAATAAAAGACAAGCTTTCTATATTTTCTTGTAAAATTATACTTTATCTCTTGCAAATAAATAAAATGATGAGATGCAAATACCTTTTTAATCGTAGACAATCGCAGATGTATATAAATAAAAACAATATCCATGATTATTTGTATGAATGATTTTTTAATGATTCTTTTTTTTTTTGTTTAATTGAAAATGTCTTCTGTATTTATAGTTCAACATCAATATCAAATAATATATCTTCTATCAATTCATTACATATATCATGTGATCAAACATTAAGAGATCTTTATTCAAATACACGTGGTTCTGTTTCATCTCCACGAAAACTCTATTTTAGACGAGTAAAAAGAAAATCAAACATTTTTTTTTGCTTATTCTTCTTCTTATTATTTTGTATTCTAGTTACCTTTTAATTATACGGAACTTGAACATCGTCGTCCGATTCGTATATTTTTTACTAATCCAACAAAAAAAGATGAACAACGTGAAGTACAACTTTATGTTAAAAAATCTTCGACTGTTGCTGAATTTCTTGATGAAGTTAAACAATGGATACCTAGTGTTTGTTCAGAGAATGGTAGTCAACAATTAAGGTAAATTATTAATTAAATAAAAAGCTATTATTTTTGTTTTTGATTAATAGAGAGTTTTAGAGATATAATTCAGAATAAATGTCATTTGTACGAACTAGAATAATCATCAAAACGATGAAAAATATTAGAAAATATTTTTCTTGCCAAATCATAAAGTTTATTTCATATAAATGAAACCATTAGATTAAATCCATGAACAACTGTTTGAATTCTTTTGAGGTCCAATAACAGTACTTAATATACGTAAGAGTAGTACAATAAAGTTTGACTCTTTAGACATGTCTTATGAGAGTAGGTCCCCGAGTGTAACTCGTCAATCGAAATGATATTTTGCCAAGAACTAGACTCTAACAAGACTACTAGAAATCTATAAGTATTTATCCTAAGTTATTACAGTTCTATTCAAATTCTTATCTTTGGCAAAGCATATATGAAAAATCCAAATTACAAAATTTCAACGTGAAATTTTATTAATAGGCAAATTTCATGAATCATTTCGTACTACTATTTTTGAAAACATCAATTCAATGAATGAGTCACATATGAAGACTTTCCCTCGTTAGTGATACAGAATGAAATATGTTAATAACATGAAATCGTCTACATCAATAGTCATATTCAAATGATAAAATTTTTTTTTTCTTCATCCTTAGATTAATTGAAGTAACATTGTCAAGTCAAATAAATTCTCTTCCATTTCATCTTCATATATGGTCAAGTCGTTCATGTATGGATGAACTTGAAAATTGTTCAAATCGATATTATCATTTAGAAGAAATATCTAATGATGAAATTGATCTTGAAAAAGATAGTGAATTGATACCTGTTGCACATTATACTAAAGTAATTAGATATATATATATTTTTTCTTATTGTATTTAAATAAAATAAATAATTGAAAATTTATTTAGGAAAATATTATTCAAATAAATATTCAAAAGTTTTTTCCATTTCTACTTAAAGTGATACATGTAAGATAAATATATTTTCTATTTAATTAATTAATAAATAATAATAATAATAATAAAATTTATTTTTTTGTAGAATGAATCATTTGGTGATGTTAAACAACGATTACAAACAAAAATGGGTCTTGTTAATAGAGAATTCGAAAAAGTTTGTTCTTTTATTATTTCTTATTTTGTGAAATATGATTTAATATTCGTATCAGAATTAAACAGGAATGAATATAATCTCAATAAATCACTAACGACAACAAATAGTAATCAAGAGAGAAGAATTTTGAACGTATTTTTGTTTGATATTATATGAGACATAATTTCTTTAAAAATTATTTGACTTGTAGAAAATGAATGAAAATAGTGTTCCATTTCAATGTAATTTTGATTGTGACATATGCAACCAAATCACGTCTCTATTCCGTTGAATTCGGCTGATTTTTAACAAACTTTCTGATTTTTTTATCAAAACTTCCTTAAAAAAGAACACTGTTTTTATGTATTTTTTGAATATTTTACGAATATAATGGAGTTTACAATAATTATGTTTTCTAAAGTATCAAACAACAAAGGCATCTGAAGTTTTCCTCTTTCTATTGTTGAAAATCGCAGGTAGATAGCTAGCTGTTGTCGTTGTCGAATGATAAAGATAACACCCACCCGTCTTTAACTACGACAAAGATATTAGAAGAAGTGTTGAAATTTGCAGGCAGAACTTTAGAATTACCTTAAAAATCTCGAAATATAAAATGTCGACTAAAATAGGTTTTTGACTACAGTAAAACTCTCCATCGTGGACACTTTTGAAAAAGTCTACAGGGTGTTCATTATAGGCAAGTCATACAGTAGTTAAAATTTCGAAGGATGTCCTGTCATTCTATTATTACTAAGCTAGTTTTATGTAAATATTCCTACCAATTATGAAGTTTTGTTTCATTTTTCGATCATCTACTATCGAGGGGTGTGCGTTTGTGAAGAGACTATCTAAGTCCATACTCTCTTATTTTTTTCGAACTTTTTACATCAAACAGAAATCTGAATCCATTCTCTCCATAAACTACGATAGACATGACGTGTTATATGATCATAGATCACAACAGGTATCATTCAGAGACCATCGCAAAAGTGATAGACATGTTAGCAACACCCTTGTTCACCACAATCAATTCTCTGTAACATATTAGTACATGGGAAATTTCAAAAAAAAAAACCTATGTCAATTGCACTAATAGATCTTGTTTTTTTTTAGTATCGGTTTTCAATATTTAATGGTAGTAAAGTAATATCACGATGTGATGATAATATGGGAAAGATTAATGTAAATGAATTGAAATTAGTACAAAGTAAAATTTACTTTTAATCTTTCTTTCTTATTTTTTTATGATGTCAACTATCATGCAAATTTTAGGTATATGCTGGCTTGGTTTAGAATTACCATCGATATCAAATCCACGCAAGACTCGAAAATCACTTTTTTCAGAAAAACCGATTCGAATAAACTAGTCGTGTACAATTAATTGTCACTTTACGTTCTTTTTTAGACACATTATTTCTTCTTGATATAGTTCAACAAATGTCAACTTTCTTCTTTGTTTTTCTAAAATGTGTTTCTGTCAATTGACAAAATTTTTTTTTTTTTGTTATTCTTCTCTCTCTTTCTTTCTATTTATAATATAGCGAATGCTCTCATTATTTCTGTTTCTTTTTGCTATTGTGCATATCAATGTATAAATCGTATATATGAGATGCAAGCATGAAAAAAGATATCCTTGTTCTTCTCTTTTTTTTTTCTTTTGGACACATACATAAGGGATTTTGACTAAATCGTAATACGTTTCACGTCTACTTTTTTTGTTTCTTTTGGTTTTGTGATTTTTCTTTACTTTATGTATATGTATGTGTGTGGTTCAATCATATTTTGTTGTCTATATAAAACATAATGAAAGGACAATAGTCCTATTAATAGAACATAAGAAATAAAAAAATAGAGAGACTTTGAATGGTCATCTCTATGGAATGGTATTATGATTGTTTTGACCATGGTTTATTTGTATCGAGTATATGAGCCATTGATGATAAAGCATCTGATCGATCACCATAAGGTTCAGTATGTATTGATGTCATTGGTGGATTGATTGTTATATCATTTGGAATGTTTTCATTTGCATTAGTAATATTATCATCATCATCATCATTGTCAGATTCTTCATCTAAACCAAGTAAAAAATGTACATGATTTTTTCCATTTGTTAATCTAAGAAATGGTTCATTTTCATCCGAATTATTATTAGTCTTATTTGATGATATTGATGGTATTGATGGTTCACTAAGGACAATAGCTGGCGATGATGTAAATCGTTTTTTAAGTTTACTCTTTTCTTGATTTACATGACCATTTACCGTAGTATTTTTTTGTTCAGTTGTTGTATCCGTTAAATTAACTGATTGTCGTCCAAGACTAACTGATGAAAGTGTCGAACGAAGTCTTTGTGCTTTATTAATTAAATGTTGATGAACAATATGAGCTAAACGACGTTTTCGTACAGTAAATAAACCTTGTAAAACAATAAGTAATCCAATAATAATTGAATATTGTGTTAAAACAAATAGAAGGCCATGTACGGAATGTTCTAAACGATCATGCATTATATCTTGACATATAAGTATATCTGGCATTTGTGTTGATATATTCATTTGATAATAATAAATACATATAGAATATTTTTCTTTTGGATTTAATCGAAGTAGTAATAATGAATTTGAAAAAAATTCATCAGTTCCTGATGGTACTGTTTTTGAAATTAAATGTTCCATTGGAAGTATTTTTTCTATATTTGTTTTATATTGTCGTATAGTAAAAAGAAAATATTTTAATGAATATATTGATTGAAGCGAACGTGATTGTATAGAAAGTATAGTTGGAAATAGATTTATTTTATGATCATAATGCTTATCAGAAAATGGTTTTTCATTGGATAATTTTGATATTGAAAATAGAGAAAATACTACACGAACAGTTTCTTTATCAATAAATGTCCAATTTGCTTCATAGTGTGGTCCAGAATGAAATTCTTCTGTTTTGTTATCTGATTCTTCCACTAGTTGTTCGGAATAATTATTATCAAAGAATGCTTCTTGTTCAATGACATTATTAGCTTCATTTTCAGGTAATATTGATGATGAATTACTTTCTGATATTATGATTAATGGTGCATTTGTATCAAGAATCTAATAAAGAATATAACTACTTTTTTTGTTTTTATTGTTTATTTTTTTTTGCTCACTTGTTCGACAGAAGAATTTATATTGATATCGGGTACCGTTCTTGTGGCTATTGTTGTTGTTGTTATGATTCGTTCTAGGACATTGGTTTCGCTTAACGATGTACATAATAGAAATAATAAATGTTTCATAATAAACATCTTCAATATGTAAATATATGTTCTATACTACAATGAATTAAAGATTTAGTATAACTTTTAGGTAAAAATATATGAGTTTCAAACGTTCACACTTGAATTGATGATTACGAACGATTTATTTACAAAATGTAGATTGGTTTGTATCAAACGGACAGCGAAAAAAAAAAAAGTGAAAGGACACCAGAATATATAACGAGTGGGATAGAAAGGAATGAGCGAGAGAATGAATGCGCCCGTCGTGAGATACAATAAGAGAAAAGGAGAAGAAATACTTGATGTGAAGATGCACGCACTAACACTATAACATGCTTTACGTGTCTCTTTCGGAATACAAATGAGGGCAAAGAGGAGCAACTGAGGCTATCGAGTGATTTGATTTTCAAATAAAATGAGAACAATACATCATCGATAGTAAATTGTATGAACATTCGTTATTCATAGCGTTTGATAAATCCTTTTCTAAACAATGGCTCAGACTGAATCGTATTTTCTATCATAAAATATATACTTTATTTTAAATAATTCACTAAAATAGTATGCTATAGATAAAAATAGAGTCTGTAATATGTATAAAATGTGTAGACAACGAACGATAAAATCTTTTTTGATTTCTAGCATTTTATTTTGTATAACTGTTTAGAACAGTCTTTTTTTCATCAAGAAGTTCAAAGAGGAATATCATCTTTATGTAATATAAAAATATTTCCTATAATTTATCTTAATTTATTTATTGAAATACTTTTTCTATAGTTCTGTGGTTAATTATACCTCATCTATCTTCACGTTAAGTTTTCTCAAGAATATAAAATTTTAATAACGAAAGACAAACTTATTTGATTATATTTTAATTTGGTTTCATTATTTTTTTTTCATTTTTTTCTGTACAACAAAAATTGCCAATCTATCAAAACAAAAAGAAGTAATCATGGTCCATATTAATATGTCGTAGAAAAAAAGAATGTATTCTATGACGAAGTATAATCTATCATTTTTGACTTTTGTATTTGATATACGCGCCTATTCTAAATATAGACAAGTGGCAATAGATAAATAAAAAAACCTATAAACATATTTTTGTTATTTTTTAAACATATTTTCTATAATATCTATATGTAATAAGATGAAAAAATATTTTTTACATAATAATAATAATGCATCATGGAATTCGACACAATTTCCAATATCAAATATTATTGAGCAATCTAAATTTTTCAATAACTGTGAAGATGAATCGTCTAATTCATCATGTAATTCTCAAACTTTAGATATGATACGTACAATTGTTGATGAATTATATCAAAGAAATAACGAAGAAAATTTATTAAGAAGTGAACCAAAAGAAAAACGTGTTCGTTTTACTCTTAAACAAGAAACAGATAAAACAGAATCAATTATTTCAAATGAATTGGAAGCAACTGAAACATTAATTAAAAATACTTTCGAAAAAGAAAAATCATCAATCAAATATCAACCAGTTTTATCGGATTCTACGACAGTTGTCTGTTGTATAATTAAAGGCCGATCAAAAATTGATTGTAGTGTGTCAACAAATGATCTTCCTTCTCTTCAGTGTGAATGTGCTACACAAACAATGGATATAATAGTCTTTCCAGAATGTAAACATTCATTAATGACATTTTTAACACCCAATGATGATCAATCAAGTATTGATCTTCATCGATCGAAAAGTTATATCTCATTATCAACAACATTGATCTCTTCTAAGTATTATTTTAGATTTTCTTTGATAGCTTTATTCATTTTTTTTCTACATACAATGAGAATTAATTTCATTAAATCTCGAAAATAGTATCTTGCACGCGTAAGACTTTTTGCAGGAGGATCCGACTGAAGTCAGTTGACTTTCGACAAATACTTCCACAGGCACTGTACGATTTTAAGTTTTTATATTATATGAAAAAAAAACTATATTATTCAGTTCCTTTCATAAATAGCAACAAACTAAATAAGTGATTTAGGATTGACTTGGCGTCTGTCTGCTTCTAAAATCACATTGATTTCGCTAAGTATATCGTGGCTTGTCGTTGGAATGGAATGTAACATTGGTGCTGAATATCCTAATTGTGAATACATGCATGAATACTTTCTCCATCTCAATAACACATGTTCACTTTTTTTTTTGATAATTGATTTTCCTCTTCATGTATTCAGTCACTTAATCGTATGATTCATCATCAACTGTAGATAAATTTTCATTAAAAACGAATTCTTTTAGTAAACCAATATCGATTTTCATTCCTACGCTTTTATACAAACAGCAATTGAATATTGTAAATATATTTTAAGATGAAGTTCCTTTAAAGTAGCAAGTCAAATTTCTTTTCGAAAGCTTTTCATCAAATATATTTTTTTGTCAATTTCGTTATGATGCAAAAGCGATATTAACGATGTTCTGAATCTAAAGAAATTGTTTTAATCAAAATCTGTTCTGTAATGGTTTAATATACAGGAACTTCTTCTAGTTTAGATTATTTATAGAGTGGCAACCAGTTATCAACCTTCTTCATACTCAACAACAAATTATACTACTTTTGAAAATTCTTCATTTTATACCTGTGAAAATAATAACATAGTATCATCATTAAATACAGCTCATCAATTAATAATACCAACCCAAGCAAAACATTATGATATATGTCAAGAACAAATATCAGATAGTTATAATACACTCATTAATTATACGATTAATGCTTTGAATTCATCATCCAAACTAAAAGAAATAACTAAATTAGATAATGATGATACATTATCGAAATCTAATAGAAAGTTTTCAGATGAAAATATAACAAAAGAAAATGTTAAACTGTGTACATGTTCAAAACGAAAACTATCTGATATTCATATCTCTATGTTAAAATTTGCTTTTTCTAATCAAGATAAATTACTTAAAGAACTACATTTATCGAAACAATCTCTTCAATCAATGTATAATGATGGTCTCTTCTATGTTCATGATCTTGTATTAATTTTTCTAAGAAATATTTCTCAATTTTATCAAATACTTGTAAAACGTTATTATTTAACAAAAAAACAAGCCAATTTATTCGTAAAAATCATGAATAAATGGTGGAAAAAGCATCGAACGAAATTTATTGATACAAATGAAAAATTATTAAAAAGTAATATTATCAAGTGATTGATTTAGAGAATTAAATTCTCGCTGCATACTTTTCAAATCACATAATTACAATGCTATTTCATTAGCTATTATGCATAGAAGATAGTCTATTGTTTCAATGAACGTTAAATATATCTAACCAAATAATTATTGTATATTGAACAAAAACTTAGAATGATCATATTTCTAATAACAGATATGACTGAGAATATGTTGACCATGAACACTGAGCACAATTCCATTTTGTTTTCTTGATTTCTGTATTTAGATGATGGATTCGATAAATTTTGATTATGACTACAAATGAAGTATATGATACAAAATAAAGGAATTCTTATGTGAAATTAATTCAAACAAGAGTTTCACATCAGGTTTCTATAAATTGGAAGCAAAACATGAACTATAATAATAATAATCAAAATACACTAGTAAGAACGTAACACTCAATACAAATTTTTTTTTAATTATAGAACGAGATGATTTGGAAACAGAGCTCTGCAGGATATTCCTAAATCTAGCAAAATACCGTATGTCCCATCTCGTACGACAATATGGAAAAAACCAATATCCCGAATTTTTTTAATCGTTTTACCAATAATTTTTCGTAAACTTTCAAGTTTTTATTTCTAATAAATATTTTAATAATTAAATAAATAGCAGAATCAAGCTCCTGTCATAGTTCCTTGTTAGCAGGCAAGATTTGAGATATGATTTCGTTGTTTTTTCATGTGAAATATTAGTTTTTGTTGAATTAAAATTTTGTTTCCGCTTCATTTTATGTGTAATCTTATCATGAAACTAAATGTTGGCAACCAATACAACGATTTTTCAATACTTGAATATTCAACAGGAACATCTTTAGTTGGTGTTTGTTTTAAAAGCTTTTTTTTCTAGTCAAGAAGGCTTCCTGTCGCATTGAGGAAGTCAAGTTCTATCTTCAACAAAAGCAGCTAGAATCCACCTTCATGTATTCACAAATGTTCAAGAAAATACTTCTCGATATGAAACATGGTCAACAAGTCATCAAATATCTGATCACATTTTACCAACAACAATACAAGAGTAATAGAAAAGAAACAAAAATTATTGAAGAGTTCCAATGCACCTATTGTCCATCGTTGGTTATTCGATAGTATGCACGTGACTGCTTCACTTACATAATGCTCAATCGAACATTACGAAAACTTATGAAAAGCAAAAGTGGACATGTATTATTCGATAACTTGTATTCACGTGTAAGAATCTCGAAATATTCCTTACTTTTTGTTAATAGATCTGTAAGAACAACCGATATAAGCGGCATTTTTTTTAAATGACAATAGATCCTACTACCTCATCGACTTCCTTTGGTTCCAGATGAGAAGTGGGTTTTTACAAGGAAGAAGAGAAAATCTTCTTCTTCATGCATACAATTTTTCAAATTGACGGCATTCAAAAACTTGACCACAGTATACTCCTTTATCGAGTGGATCTTAAACTTACGTTGGATGACGATCAACAACTCCGACAATTAATCGATCGCATACGAGATGAAGCTGCACGTGAGACTAACTGAGAACAGTTGGGTACATTGTTGTTCAAAATAGATCAATCCGACAAGACCGAAGAAAGGTACACCGCGCTGCTAGAAGAGAATCCAACGACAATGATAAAGTATATATCTATCAACAATTTGGATTGATCAAACAAAATCAAGCACAATACAAATGAGTAGCTACGTTTTACAAAACCTTCTTCGAAATTCACCAAAACACCGTCGAAAGAAAAATGGCAAGTTATTTTCATTACGTTTTCTTCACATAAAATCTGTATATTCCTACTGTAAAATATCACCAATTTTCATTGGTCAATAAGGATATTTTCTATTTTCAAAACTTTGTTCACTTCATGTATCAAAATGAAATAGACACATTGCTTTTTTCTTGTTTTCTAAATCTAGTATATTACCAGTATTCATATTTTCTTCTCCCCTTTCAGTCTAAAATACCTAAACATAATATATACTACGTAGAAGAATTTCATTTCGAGTTTATCAACATTTCTTTTTTTTTCACGAAACTAATAAAACACAAACAAAGAAAGACACACACGTGAAATTTTTTTGCAAAAAAAAAGAAAAATACACAATACATTGTCTAAGCAGAAAAAAAACAGTTTGTTATAATATAGTCAAACGGTCTCATGGAATACTAGAAATTCTTTATTGTAAAAGATCATGTACATCTTTTCAAGAAGGTGATTCCAATTTGACTGATATTCAGAACATTATATAGTTAGTTTGATGCAACAAGAAAAAATGAAAATGAAAAATATTTTTAAGTATCAATCAATTTCCAGATTAAATAATAGTCATGGCGATAAACTGATCGGCACAATACTTAAGACAAATCCAACTATTATTGAAGGATTTTTACAGTATAATTTTATACTTATCTCAAAAGAGAATATTCGTAAATACATTTATATAGAAGCTTCTATACGATAGAAAGCCTTTATCTTTCTGATGATGACATGCTTTGTTTTTCAATCATGGAAAATTTTGCTTGACTACAGTATTTGATCACTTTCTGTATCAATATTAGATCTCTTGTTATAAGCACTTGAATTTGTTTTCTAGTTATGTTTTTCACTTTTTTTTTTATTTGTTACAGGAGCGACATTTATTGATAACTAGTGCTTTTCATATACTTGCACTTAAACAAAACTTTACACTACTATTGTGAATCAGTTATTTTTGTCATTTGTAATGGTGTTGGTGGACTTGATGAATCTTCCATAGTTGCTAATGTTAAATTTTTTTTCCTTCGTGATTCATGAACAAGTAACATTTGTTTAATATCATGTATAGTTGTTGATTTCATTAATTTTTGATTTGATAATTGACGGGAAATACTTGTTGAATGTGTTGTTGAATGTAATGATGAATTATGTAAACGATGTTCTTCATCTTGATCAACAAAAACCGTTGAATGAACAAACCAATGTGGTAATGGTTTTGGTTCATATGGTACTTTTTTATTAGTTAATTTCATTTTTGTTGATAATGGTTGTGTTGCAACTTCAGCTGTTGATTGTGTTGTTTTTGTTGATTTTTTACCTGGTTTTCCAGGACCACGTGATGATGATATAATTGAATCTGTTGTATTACTTGTTTCATCAATATCCATTTGTGAATATTGATCATCATCATCTTTTTCAATAATTATTTGTATATCATGATTTAGTGTAGCTGTACGATCAAATACAGTTGATGCTTGTGAACGATGTGTATTTAATGATATTGTTTCTTTATTAATATGATGATTTATTGTTGATGAATTTCCATTTTGTTGAAAAATATCTTGATCAGTTGAATTTTTCATTTGTTGATCATTGGTCATAATTTCATCAATACGTTTAAGTATTTGAAATAATGGTTGCATTTGTTCATTAAATAAACTCATATTAGCTGTTTGTCTATTTGTTGTTGTTGTTTCATTTATTTCAACATCTTCATGTACATTACCACCACATAATAGACATATTAATGCATTTTGTGTTGAATCATATAATTTTAACATATCTAATTCAGTATATTCTTTTGAACATTGTTCACATTTATAATTTGATTGTGTATATGTTTGTTGTCGCTCTAAATTTTCTACATAACTTTGCATTTTAATTAAACGATATTTAACAACATTAATAAATGTTGTTGTATCAATTTTATAATAATATTGATCTTGATTACGTCGACCAGTTGTACCATCATTTGATTCAAGACGATGATCTTCGATTATAAATTTATCACGTTTAAATTCTTGAATATATGAACGAACTGTTTTAGGATCTAAACATAAACGATCAGCTAAATCTTGTTGTTTTATTCGTTCATGATGAAAAATATATTCAATAACAAGAGATTTTGGAATATCATAAAATGTACGCATTATAAAACGAATTAATGCTTTGAGTATTGCTCGTGGATCGTTGGTATCATAGGTTGGAAGAGGTATGTCATTTGATGAAGGTGCTACAATATTTGTAGACGAAGGATTTGTTTGTGGATTAGGTCGTATCGGTTGTTGAGGAAGAGAAGGATTAAGATTTGTAAATGAACCACCACCAGCTGATATCGACGACATGTCGTTTTTTATTGTATTTAAATCGGCAAAGACCATAATCGAAAAAAAGAAAATGTGGCTGAATCTATGATTAATAGAAAAAAAAATGTCAATAGGAGTTATTTCTGTTTCTAAATTGTATATAATTAAGAGAAAAACTCTTAGCTTTATATCTTAGTTAGAAACATAAGTTAGACTACTTATAGATTCCGTCTTGAAACCAGTTAATACAATCTCTGTGAAACTAAAATTCGAAACACAACGTGATTGATGTTGCTAGTCACCAGTAGATTGTTTTATTCTATCTGTCTTCACCCATCCTGTTTACTTAATCATCCAGAAAATGCAATAAGGAAGTAGTTCATATATTTTAGCCAGATGTGATTGACATATGACCTTTGATTCAACCTCAATAATATTTATCACGGTACGTAGAGAAGGGGGAGGGTGAAGCCAAATTTTTATTTTTATACTTCAACACTCCTTTTAGATCGTGTGTTGTAAAACACTAAAATCAACGGTGAATAGCATATCTGATATTGAGAAATATTCTACGTTGTTATTGAAAACAATTCTACTTCTTTGATGTTATTAAAACAAAATGACTCAAATAAGATCTGTAAATCGATTTCTCTATATTTTGACTTTAAAAAAAAAATCTTTTTTATATCCTTGTTCAAAATATTTTAATCCTTGGCCAAAAGTAAAAGTGAAAATGATTTATATTTTGACAGAAACGATTGCATTAGAATAATAGTGATTATAGTTCAGTTAAAATGGATTTTCTTCTGAAACACGATCTAAAACGAGTGTTGAAATATAGAAGTAGAATTTGGGACCTGTTTTCCTTTCTCTTTGCCATAAATCGAATATTAATAACCTCTCGTTATAATATACAAACTACTTTGTTATTATATATCTGGAGTATCTAGGTAAAGAATTGTAAAAAAAAGTCTGTTCCAATATAAATAGAATAAAACAATATCCGTGTGGTGAACAAGAGCAGCTACATTGTGATTCAGATTTTAATCTCGCTGGAATTGCACTAACAACTTTGTTTTTTTTCAAATTTTTAATTGTAACATGCTTTTACTTATTTCAGACGATGAAAAAAAAAAGCGTTCTTTGAGTTTCTGTTACAAAGAAATCAAGATTTTAAGAGACCATACAAACTTGTCAGAAGAAATGATATCATTTTCAATGATAATAATGTGTATTTTTAATAAGCGAATATCTGCAACTATAGAATACTGTTTCGCCCGATATTATGACTACAAACAGATCTTTGTGAGACTAAGAAAAACTCTGGCTAATGACTTGCTGACAAACAGTTATGGTTATTTTAGTGAGACTAAAAAAAATTTCATCCTAAGATGTTGTCTATAGATAGAATTAATAATCAATCAAAAAAAAAATTTCGAAAGTTTCAAAAAACACGAACGTGACGCTCTCGAGATTTTCCATTTCTAAGTGAATTGGACTGTTGTGTACTTCTGTGATAAGTTGCTGTTCTTTCCTGAAACTGTTTCATGATCATTAGCTTTATCTAAAGGTAATGTTTCAGGATAACATCCTTCATTTTAAAAATTCTTAGAAATACCTTGCTTTCTGTAAAAGCCTACTAAAATGACCATAACTCTGCACGCGTATAGCCATGACCTTTAACCATTGTTAGCTTTTATTAACCTCATACAGATCTATTTGTAGCCATAATATTAGATAGAACAGTATTCGACAATAGCGAATGCTATCTCGTAAACTTTTTATTGATGCCATTTAAGTAGAAATGTCTTATTTCAACATTGATCAAAATCATTTATTTTCTTATACAAATAGAATTTATTAATTTTTCAGAATATATAATAAAAACTAGAAGTAATTTAATTTAGATGCTCGTAGTATCATCAATATAAACAACACTTATCATTGATAAGTTCAACGAATCATTCTACGATTCAGACAATGAGCCGATAGATATATAGAGAATTATATAGAATAATATTTCACTATTTCGAATTAATATGAAGCCAAAAACTCAGAAAGAGACACTTTCAAAAAGATTATCATATGAATGTATTCTTTGAATTAAATGTACATATTTGCTATCTTATATGTAAATTCTTAGCATTATGAAATATAGAAATAATTTTTAAAATACCGAGATATTACTACATATCTATGAATGAATTAATAACTTTAATCACTAGTAAATAATATTAGCTATTGTTTCAATAGTCAGAAAAAATAGATGATATGGTCAATAAGTACAATAATTTATAAAATCAGTAAATAAAATTTATTACTCGTTCTTTAAATCGAAAGATAAGTTAAAGAATTGACATGATCAAATTTAAATAGAAAAAAATGATTTAACTTGAAAGAAAAACCTAAACTTCATATCAAAGTGAAATGTAATTCTCACTATAATGTAGCAGCAAATGGTAATAACGTCTAGAGAGATTGACTTTCTTTTATTATAAAGCTAAGCCACTATATACTCATAGAAAAAAGAAACATTAAACTAAAAAAAAGGAATATTCCAAAGATGATAAAGAACGAGCGAAGAAAAAAAAACACCTGTAAAATATCAACAAGAAAAATAAACCCATAAGCGAAGGAAAAGAAAGAGTGAGGTTACTTGAAACTTGGTGTATGAAAATGGAGAATAATTGACATTGGGAAAAACTTGCTTTATTAATATAATGAGTTAGTTTTCATTTTTTTTTCTTCAATCGTTCTGTAATTTCCTATAAACTGTTGTTCTAAGGAAAAGTTTTCAATTGATCGATCTTTTCTTCATTAAACCTTACTGAACCATGGATACTGAGTCGATAGACACTGTTTCAAGCCACACAATGGTCAAAAAAAAAAAACTTTGGGTCAAAAAAGAGGTGGATGTATGCTTAACATACTTATAGTATATTATACTTGGCACCTATAAAACTATTTTTTTTGCTGATAAAATCTGTATATTTCACTGATATAAATCGGACTTTTTTTTTGCAATCAATTATAAATATAATAAACTGATTATTTTACAGATCATTTCCTGACTAAATATCATATTTACGATAGTATGTTGACTTTTCCACAATTAATCAATTCGAAAAACATATGATCGTTGAATTGATCTGGAAATTTTTAAAAGAAAACTATATCAAATTTCGTAAGTCTATTTCTTTTTCTCAGACTTAAAAATTTCTGATAGCTTTACTACTGATAATTGTCATCATATAATCAAAATTAAACTATTTTCTTTCTAATTTCGGACACAATAGAAAATTTGTCAATTATTCTTCTACAAGATTTCTTCAATTGTAAGAAGACTCTAAATCACGATAACAATTTAGATCCTTAACGTAAATGTAATTCATCAATAACAAATAGTTTTATCGTACTCAGTCTGAAAATAATATAGATGAATTGATATAACAATGTAGTGGGTATTTTTGCTTGATAAAACATTGAAAGATTTAATGTTAATTCTAATGATATTCCAATAACATGACGCAAAATACACACCGATAATCAATGTATCGAAGGAAATGAATAAGCAAACAGTTAATTTATTTATATATATATATATATTTTATTCGTGTATCTACAAAAAATTTCACAAAATTTATTTTGATTTCTATACGGAAAAAAAATAGACAGTATCTTTTAGAGAGATAATATTATTGTCATGAAAGTGATTAACAAATGATTTTATTGAAAATTTTAGATTTTAGTGCATCTATATGTGCTACACTGATGCATAAACTTATGACAAGAGGACAAGTAGATTTACATTTATATACTTGTTGGTGAATCATAGAGCACAATACAATCAATTAAATTATAGACATTGTTAGTAGTGTATAAAATAGTTTTGATTATTTAATTTTTAAAAAAAATATTTTTTTATAAATAGTTAAAAAAAAATGTTTTTTTTTTTCAATAAATATCCTTCAAAAGTTCATAGTGATGTCACTACAATCAATTATTCTATGAGACAAAAAAAAGAGAATGGTTGCCAATTATTCGTCTTTCATTATTCATTCATTTCAATTGAGTGTTTAGCAAAATTTTTTTATTATTCATTTATTTTATATTTTCAAATTATTTGAATGAAAATTATTTTTTTTAGAATTGTTATTAAACCTGTCAATTGACCTGTCTACTATCTTAAGGTGTGTGTGCGTGTGTTCAACAACGTTTTTCTCAATTTAATTTAACAAAACTTCAGTGTTTTTCTCTCTGTGTGCATCTTTGGTGAAAAAACTCAGATTTATTTTCTTGTTTTAATATATATATTGATAATGTCATCAACACGAACAGCTCCACGAACAACATCAAATAGTAAAACAACATCTGTGAATACTCATCATACAAATGGTTTGGTTAATGCGTATGATATAAATGAATCACCATCAAATTTGACTTATCCTACGGGCAATAATCCAGAGTAATGATTAATTTTAAAAAATTGTTTTTTTTTTCTTAAAAAGATTATAAAATGATTTTCTTTTCAATTTAGATTTGATCCAAATCTACCACGATCATCTTTAAAAAGAAATATTTCGCAAGTAAATGACGTCGTTTTTTTTTTTCATTCGAATACAAATTAAGACTTTTATATTAATAATTTAGTATGATGGTATATATCGAAATGCTCGATTTATTCATGCAATAAGTAGTGGTTTAGTGGTAAGTTTCTTTTATTTGTTACTTTAAAGTTGTTTGAAATTTGTCTGTATAAAACACATATAAGTTATTTCGGTAAATATGATTCAGATAGGAGAACTGTCTGATGAGTAACAGTTAGAAAGGATTTGAAAACCAGATATTTGAAGTTTTTTTGCTTATAGATCATACAATATTTAACACTCATATATATATAATCTATTAAACTTAATTTTAGGGTCAGCAAGTAGTTATTCAAACAAGTGATCATGAACGGTTTCATGGTGTACTTGAAACACTTTCACCAAATGCTGATATTGTTCTAACTGTTTCACATCGATTAGATAAAAATAATA